AGCGGGAGCCCCAGGAACGGATGGAGGAGAGCATGGATGCAGGCCACACCCCTCGAAAGGGAGCCCAGACATGGTAGTCATGAAGTTTCCAGACGCCCCGGGTCTGTCCAGCACAGAGGGATGCGTAGGGTGGGGTGCTCGGGATTAGAGGCAGGGGAAGCTGATGGCAGGCTGGGAGTAGAGCCTGTGGTCCAGAAACCTTAGGGGAGAAACAGGCCTCACCTTGATGCTTCATTCCTGGGGAATCTTAGAAGAAGGGAGCAGAGGTGTTGAGGGGAGATGTATTTTGGGGAGCGGTTCCTGTTGACAGAGGAAAGCCACATTCGGGGAGAGAGGCACTGAGCATCACCTCCACACCAAACGGGCAGGATACGGAGTGCCTGCTAAGTGTCGAAATTCCTCTGCATTTCTGGGCCCGGAGGGGGACCCACAACTGTCACGCAAAAAGGCCCCGGAAAACGCACATGGGGAAAAGAAGCGTTTGGAAGGGGAAAACTCTTCAATACGTGTTCACGCGAGAGAGCGAAACCAAGTGATGAGGGCCTTGCTGAAATCGCAGGGAGGGAGCACCCGAATTCAGATTCCTTGTTGCAGGAGGAACAGGGGAAGCAGACTCACCGCCCGCTCCACGTCTCCTTGCCAGGCCGCTTGTCATAGTCCCTCCATCGACCACGCCGCGGGCCGTCTGCGGCTCTTCCAGATCCAGCTCCGGCCCCGACATGGCTGGCGGGGGGCATTCCATCCCAACAGGCACACAGCAGTGCCTGAAACAGAGCAGCCTGAAGGACAGCAGGGAGGGACTCCGCAGCAAGACCCCCGGCGCTGGCTGGGCGGGTTCACTGGGCTCTGCGCGGGCTAGGCAGGAAAAGCGGGGGGTGGGGGGGGGCTGTGATCACGGCCCAGCTCTGGACGGAACACACGCCTTCGCTCCTTACGGCTCGTGCCGGGAGGAGTATGTATCCTCCGCAAACCCGAGGACACTCTGTTCTCTCACAGGAGTGTCCACCTGCTGCTGGTGTGGGGGCCCTTCAGAAAGCCCCTTCCCACTTCTCTCGCCAAGGAGTGAGGGGCACGCCTGTGTGCAGAGGCCCCCAGGGCCGGAGCCTCTGTGTGCTACGCTGCAGCATCCGAGGGAGGCACCGAATTTGGTGCCACCCGGGCTCAAACCAGCCCGTAGCCGGGGAGGTGCTGAAGCTCGCTTCCGGTCCTGAGAGCGTCCACCCCCGTCCGCCCAGGGACTCACCCTCCGACAGACGTGTTGGAGAACATCGTGCACGCACACGTCTTCACCGCTCTGTTCCGGTGACAGTCCCCAAGCAAGCACGGCCACTTCTTCAGCCGCCGAAACTGGTAGTAACGAAACCGATTTGGCCACATGGGAAAACGTTCAGGAGAAAAATATAGGGAAAGACTGAAAAGTTGCCTCTATTTAAAGTTCACGAAGACGGAAAAATCATGCACATGCAGTTGGAATGGGTAACAAGAGCGGGTGAGGGCTGCAGGATGGCGGGGTTGCAGGCCATCGCTTTTCCTTGAAATTCTTTTTTATAATGGTCGTCATGTACATGCTCAACACATCCCCCTCCCCAAAAGGGAGAAAGAAGAAAATAGAGCGTGTTTGCAGAGTTACTTCGCAGGGTTTTTTCCAAATGGAGAACAGCTTTGGCGTTTTCAGGCCCGATATGTAATTAGTGGGTTGGCGAGTCTATTTTAAAACTACGAAGTCTTCCTCCCACTTCAGCTCTCTCAGGCCCACACCCCTTCCCCCACGCACATCTGCCCCACGCCCTTCCCCCAAAAAGGTGTTTGGTTTTCTCTATCATCCAGGCCTTCGTTAGCCCACGTGTGTGCGGTGGCCGTGCCTCGCCCACGACGGCTCTCGGTGGGCCTGCGCCGGAGAGAAGGCCCTGGAGCTCCCTCCAGGCCCGGCATGGGTGCGGCTCGCTGGTCCTGGGTTAACTGCCTTTCGTCAACCGTTCTATAGTGCGTGCTTGCTTACGTATTTACAGAGCACCCACTCTGTGCCAGGTGTCCGGCTGGGTGTCCACCACGCCGCGCACAGAAGAAGACCGTTCGTGCCTGTAGGAGGAGGGGCAGGGCCAGGACAGAGCATGCAAACAGCCCCTGGCCCCACAGCCCAGCGCCCCCAGAATCAGGCAGATACCAGGTGCCGCCCGCCCGGGAGCGCCTCTGGTCAGGCCTCAGAACCCAGCTGGAACACTCTCCTTCTTCGCCCCCTTCTGGAATCTCCTGGAACAAGTCAGATCCCCTCCCTCTGCCAGATCAGAGGCAGATCAGACTGAACCAAAACCGCGGTCCGCCCCGGACCAGAGGGAGCCCTTCACAGGGTGATGGCTGGTCAGCGCCAGTCACATCAGGGCCTTCTGGCGTTGGGCCCTCCCTCCTCTTCACTTAACATAACACTGTGTCACTTCAAGGTGTTGGATGTGTTGACCGATACATTTATAAATTGCAAAATGATTACCACCATGGTATTAGCTACCACCTCCATCCCATCACATAGCTACCAGGTCTTTTTTATGGTGAGAACATTTAAGATCTACTCTTTTAGCAACATTCAAGCATGCGATTCAGTATTATTAACTATAACCACCATGCTGTGCATTAGACCTTCAAACTTAATTTTTTAAAAAAAATTCTAATTGAAGTACAGTTGACATATTAGTTTCAGATGTTCAACATAGCGATTGGACAACTATATACATTCTCAAATGCTCACCAACGTAAGGGCAGTCACCATCTGTCACCATACAAAGTGATTACAGACTTATTGACCATATTCCCTGTGCTGTACTTTTCATCCCTGTGACGTTTTTACTTTATAACTGGAAGTTTGTACCTCTTCATCCCCTTCACCTATGTCCTCTGCCTCCCTAACCCACCCTCCTCTGGCAACGACCTGTTTGTTCTCTGTGTTTATGAGTCTGGTCCTGTTTTGTTTTGTTTTTTTAGATTCCATATGAGTGAACTCATATAGTATTTGTCTCTGTCTGACTTATTTCACTTAGCATAATACCCTCTAGGTTTATGCACGTGCTCGTAAATGGCAGAATCTCATTCTTTTTTATGGCTGAGTAATATTCCTGTGTGTGTGTGTGTGTGTGTGTGTGTTTGCACATCACATCTTTATCCATTCGTCTGTGGATGGACACTTGGCTTGGTTGCATATCTTGGCTATTATAAATAATGCTGCAGTGAATGCAGGGGTGCATGCATCTTTTTATCTTTTTGTATTAATTCATTAGCTTTTGACTAATGTAAAAATTCTAAAGCAAATCAACCAAAAGCCAGTGTTTTAAATACTACTTTGTATATTGATAAGTATTGTGCAGCCTATACTTTTATAATTCTAACTTTTAAAAATTTTTAACTTTTTTTTTTAAAAGTATTTATTTATTTGACAGAGAGACACACAGCAAGAGAGGGAACGCAAGCAGGGGGAGTGGGAGAGGGAGAAGCAGGCTTCCCGCCGAGCAGGGAGCCCGATCTGGGGCTCGATCCCAGGACCCCGGGATCATGACCTGAGCCGAAGGCAGACGCTTGACCCACTGAGCCACCCAGGCACCCAAAAATTTTAACTCTTTTTAAAAGAATAATTTCATTAGATTTCTAAGGAATTTGCATTTATACTATAAACTTATTTTATTTTTTTATTATTATTTTTTTTACTATAAACTTATTTTCAATCAGTGATGACCACTTTGCTTTTATAGTAGTGTTCTCTCCTTTTCTGATTGTCTTCTTCATAATGAAAAGCAAAACTCAGAAACAAAGGAATGGCTAACATTCTGGTTGGATGTCCCTGGAGGGAAAAATACTTAACTGATGAACTCTGTGCCAGGCATTATTCGGCCATCATGCAGGTGCCAGAGTAGGCATGATTCTTGCCCTCTATTTTGCAGATGAGCAAACTCATGAGGGCAGAGTTTAACTTGCTCAGGGCTAAGCACTTCATTCATGTCAGAGGCAGACCTGCAATCTCCATCCATTTAGCTATGACCACCTGCCCTGGACAGAGGATGGGGATGTGAATCTGCTGTCCTTTGTGTCCCTCTCTCCCGTCCTTTCTCTAACACAAGCACCTGTGTCCCTGTGTGCACAAGCGCCCACAGTTAATTCACTTCTTAGATCCCCTGGATGGAGCAGAAGCGATGGTCATCCACACTGTGTCCCACAGACGACAAAGCCTGGGCAGCAGAAGGAGCTTAAGTGGCTTGTCCGAGGTCAAACAGCTTGTCAGCATCATTTTAACATCAGAATGTGAAATAGCAGGTGAGCTATACTTTTTATACTTAATTCCCATTAATTTCAGCCTTTCAAAGGCACGCCTGTCCCTGTGGCCCAGAGTGGGAGTGTCGCAGCTGGCGGGTCAGCAGGACTCCTGCTGGCAGGACTCTCTGAGCCAGGGGGGTCGCGTCCACGGCGTCCCGGCAGCCCTCGGGACTTCGCGGAGCCCAGGGGGTGGGAGGGGTGCACAGGGCTGGGGTCACCCAGGGCGGAGCCTCCAGTGCCAGGTGGGGGCTGCTGTGGGTGGGCCCAGGGCCGGGTAGCTGGAGTGGTGGGCAGCTGGACCCCTGTCTCAGGGGGCCAGGGCTCTGCGGGCGGGAAGCCTGTGCGGGGCGGCGAGGTCCGGTGAGCGTTCCGCAGAGGGGCGCTGCGGGTCCCTGCGAGCTTGGGGCAGGAGCGGGGCCGCGGGGCCGCGGGGCCGCGGGGGGCGGAGCGTGGAGCTGCGGGGGGCGGAACCTTGGTGCCGCGGGGGCGGGGCCGGGGTGGAGCTGTGGGGCCGGGGAGCCAGGGATGGAGCCGTGGAGCCGCGGGGGAGGAGCCAGGGGTGGAGCCTTGGTGCCACGGGGGCGGGGCCGGGGTGGAGCTGTGGAGCCAGGGGTGGAGCCAGGGGGTGGAGCCACGGGGCGGGGCCGGGGTGGAACTGCGTGGTCGTGGGGGCGGAGCCCTGGGGTGGAGTCTCGGGGGCGGGGCCTTGGGGTCAGGAGCTGAACTAGCTGGAGTGCGATCCTGCCAGACCCAGCCGAGTGCAGCCCGCGGCCCTGCTCCTTACTGGCCAGCATGTCCTTCGTCGCGGTGGCCGAGGATTCTGACTTCCCCATCCACAACCTGCCCTACGGCGTCTTTTCCACCCCAGGCAACGTGAGCTGCTGCGCTCGGCCTCCGGGCGGGGACGGGAGGGTGCCCCCTCCACTGGGACCCCCCGCCCCAATCCCCGAAACCTGTGGCCAGTACCCACCAGGCAGGACGCCGGCCTGTGGTTCCCCTGCTGGACGCGCCACGTGGAGGCCCCCGGGGTCACTGGGGGGCCGTGTTTCCCCTGCCCGACGCGCCCCGCGGAGGCAACCCCTCCCCCCAGGTCACTGGGGGCAGGGGGAGTGAGATGGGGGCGGTTGGAGGCTTTGGGGCTGTCTGTTGAGGAGCCTGTGGTGCCCAGTGTATGTGGGTCCGAATCCCGCCTGGTAACTTTCTAGATGTGCACGTAATTGAGCCTGTGGGCCTCAGTTTGGGCGGGTTCGTGTGGGATGAAACAGAACCTGCAGGTGTCTCTCCCAGGCAAGCAGAGCAAGTCCGATTATTGAGTTGTTTTTTTTTAAGATTTTAATTTTTTTTTTTGCGCGCGCTTGTGAGAGAGAGAAAGAGAGAGAGCGCGCGCTCAAGCAGGAGCTGGGGGAGGGGCAGAGGGAGAGGGAGAAGCAGGTTCCTGGCTGAGCAGGGAGCCCGATGCGGGGCTCCATGAGCAGAAGGCAGACGCTTAATTGACTGGGCCGCCCAGGCGCCCCAAAGTCCGATTATTGGTGCTGAGCAGTTGAAGCGCCTGGTCTTACTGCTTCCTCAAGTCATTGGGGTTTCCTGCCCCCAAGACACTATGTTATGGCTGCTTGTTCATCTCGCAGGTTAGACCTTAACACTAGGACCGGGGGAATGCTGAGGACCTCCACATTTTTAGTAGCTTAGAGGGATGAGCACGTTTGCTGGCCTTGAGCTGTGGGCTCGGAGATGTCAAGTTAATCTGCCTCCAGCTAGAATTCTTTCAGCTCGTGGGGTGGGCTCCCAGGCATTCCCTTGCTCATTGGAAGAAGCCCTTTGGACAGAAAAAGGAGCTTTCACTTAGTAAGTATAGTCTGCCCCTTCCCCCATGGCGGATCTTTGACCCCCAAGCGGCTGGACTTCTGTGGGCCTGCCTGCCGCAAATGCCTTGGTCTACAAGAGCCAATGTGTGGTTTCACAATGGCCAGGCCTGGGCAAACATTGCGAGGACACAGAAAGTTAACTCGCAGTCCCCTAGAGGGACAGGAATACAGTGAGGCAGATTAACCCTTGACCTGTGTTAGCCAACAACGCTCTGCCCAAGCCCCAAGGCTGGTGAGTCCAGGACTCTGGAATGAGTGCCCCTTGGAGGGTGGCTGGCGGCCTTTGGACCCCAGGCCCCTGTTGCTGGTGCAGGGACAGCCACTGGGGAGGCCTGGACACAGAGCCCCTTCCAGCGGCTCTCTGAAAAGCACACAGCGCCTCGGGCTTTCCGGAAGGCTCGGGGCGTGGGTGTGGGAACAGGCCTCATCGTAGGCTGTCCTGCCCTCAGTGGACACGGCAGGGTCACCACTGCCTCGCTCTCCCCTGCACACCAGCAGCCAGCTCTTCATAATTTGGGTGGAACACTAGTGAATCAATCTTGTCATTACTTCATTCATTCTTTTATTCAGGGAATGCCTAAGAACCCCAACTCTGGGCCGTACTCTGGGAGGGGGGTCGGGGACCGAAGACACACGAGACACCCTCCCCCCATCTCGGGGTGCTCATGGATTGGCAGAACGCAGGAGGCTTTGTCTGCGAAGACGGGGGTGATGGCCTTGGCGATGGGGGTGCCGCCCGTGGTGGGCTGCAGCCGATGGCCAAGTTGTTAGAGTCCCTGTAGTCTGGCCCTGCCTCTGCCTGCTGCCGTCTGCTCTTTCCAACCACACGGGCTGCTGTTCAGTTTCTGGACCATTCTAAGAGCCTTTTTCCGCCTCAGGACCTTAGCACGTATTGTTTCATCTGTCTGGAATACTCTTCCTTCCACTCTGTGCAGGCCTAATTCCCTCTCACTCTCCAGGACTCAGAGACACATCCCTTAAGCACCCTCACTGAACGAGTTCCCTGCTGCACCCAGCCATACCCACTGCCTGTCGCCGCACCCTGTGCCCATTGCCTTTGCGTCCGGACGGCCCACACCAATCCCTCCTCTGTCCCTGGTGCTTTAGCGGCCGTCGTGTCCTGCTGGCGTGGAGAAGAGGCTTCGTAGTTGTTTTTGTCTGAATGGATGTCTGCCCTGTGTCTGGCCTCGTGATAAGAGATTTACAGATATTAATTGAACTCCCACAGCAAACCCGCTGTTACGTTACTGTCCCCATTTCATGGAGGAGGAAACTGAGGCTCAGAACGGCTAAGAACCCCGCCGCAGGTCTCACAGCCAGTCAGGACAGAACTGGGGCTGGACCCCACGTGGGAGAGCTTCCAAACCCCATGCTGGGAGTGGGGTAAAGCTTTCCTCTGGACAGCTGTCTATCAGATACGACCCGGAGGCAATGCACATGCATTCTCTTACAGTCAGATCAGTGGGGTATCTCTTCTGAATTTGTCTCCCTCACATTAGGCAGGGGACCCTGAGCCCTCAGAGGACTAGGGACGCCTCCCAAGGGACAGGATGGTGAGTGACGAGCGGGTGGGGACTCAGGGGCCCTGGATCCCAGCCAGGAGCCCCTTCCCATCTAGCACTGAAAAATTCAGCTCCCCGAATTTATTGTTATTTTTTTAAAGATTTCATTTTTAAGCAATCTCCACACCCAACATGGAACTCGAACTCACAACCCCGAGATCAAGAGTCACACGTTCTACCGATGAAGCCAGCCAAGCGCCCTTAAAGTAGACAGCCCCTGTTTTTTGGGGTCCTCAGGTCATAGCTGGGCGCACAAGGGCAACTTCTGGGCTTTGCTTACAGCTGGGGAAGCTGGCCCCAAGCTCGTCACTAGGTTGCTCGGTGGCGTTGGTTCCTTCCTACCTTCAATGGGCCTGGAGGCCAGGGTCAGAAAATGGTTCCAGGGTCTGCCCTGCACACCCCGTGGGGGTGGCCACTGGGGTCCAGGTGCTCATCAGTTGTGTCCGTTGCCATTTACCGGAGGGGGAGACTGAGGCCCAAGGAGTCAGCAGTGCCTCGGGGAAGGAGTAGTCAGGTCCCCAGGCAGGGCCGGGTGAGGGTGTGGCTCTGGTCTGCCCCGGTCCCTGAGCCCGACGTGCACCAGGAGATGGCCACCTCCTCTTAGCCTGCTGAAATGAGCAGCCAGCGGGGAGAAGGCCAGCCTGTCATCCCACCTCTAGGCTCTCTGGAGCCGAGATGGCAAAGCTGGTCACCCGGGAGAGCTGGGAGCTCAGCTCAGGGCAGGGCTCCTGGAGGTCGGGTCTCCGGTTCTTCGCCGACCAGCAAAGCTCAGGGTCTTGGAGCGAAGGCCAGGAATCAGAGCTGATGCTGGGATTTTATGTCGTGGCAAGGAACTCCCCTGCACGTTCTGAGCTGCGTGGCTTCGTGGTCCCTCATGACCTGAGCTCTGCCCTGTTTGAGCCAGAGCAGGCCTCATTCATCCAAGCCCCTGGCCCTCAGCACTGTGCCTGGGATGCTCTCTGCTCTGCTGTGCAAAGAAATTCCCCCGAGGGAAGGCCTAGGTCAATTCTGGGAAATAATCCAGTGGCTCGGTGAGGTGGTGAGCTCCTCATCACCAGAGGCATTCAAGCAGTACCTGAGGAATTCTCTGGGGACTTTGCCTCCATAAGGGGCTTGGACTAGGCCACTTGCACCTTCTCCTTTCCAAGGGATGTTGGATTTATTTCCCATGCAGCGAATATAGATTCTTTTCTTGTCCTAGAAGCAGAGAGGGTCCCAGGTTCTGCCGGGGCAGAGATCCCCGGGGCAATCTCAGTCCACAGGGAGACAAAGGGAGTTGGGGTCAGGTGCTAAGGATCCAGTTCTTCAGTCCCTCTCCTTAGAGGGCCATCTAAAGGGGGGACCCACGGGCTCTTCACTAGACAGATTTTTCGGGTAAAGAACCAAGGCTGGCCAAGACCTTCCCCAGTGCTGACCATGCCGTCTCCCTCGCAGCCAAGGCCGAGGATCGGCGTGGCCATTGGCGACCAGATCCTGGACCTCAGCGTCATTAAGCACCTCTTCACCGGGCCTGTCCTCTCCAAACACCAGGATGTCTTCGATCAGGTAGGACTCCGTGACATGGCGTGTCTACTGGATTTGTCACAAATGCCACCAGCTGGGAGCCAGCCTGAAGTCCGTGTCCCTGTGGGATGGACGTGGCGCTGTGATGTCATCTCCCGTTCCGTGGGTCAGGACGGAGGACGGTGTTTATGGAGCACCTCCCGTGTGCTGGGAGTTCCACACACGTCTCCCGTCCGGTCCTCGCAACGACCATCTGGCGCAGGACTCGGGTCCTCAGTAGATGGTGGGGATTTCATCTGAAATGAGCCACGATTCCCCGCGTCACGTGGCTCCAAGTATTGGAGCCCCTAGGCCACGGTGCTGCCCCTGTCCCACCGGCTAAGAACCTCACAGCCTAGCTGGAGGGGTGCGTGGGGACTGAGCCGCCACAGATGGAGGGTGTGCTTCCGTGGCAGGAACGCAGCCCCCTCCAGCGGCACCCCAGGCCCCGTGTCCCCGGCAGCACCCCACACAGTGGCTCCCAGCCTCTGCCGACCGCGCGCAAACCTGGGGGCGGGGGCGACGCTTTCCCAGCTCCAGGGGCAGAGAGAAAGCCCTGGCAGTGCGAGGGCCCAGAGGTGGCCGGCCTCTCCACGGCCTCTCGCATGTGCCGTCCGCCCTCTCTGTCCCCGTGTAGCCCACTCTCAACAGCTTCATGGGCCTGGGCCAGGCTGCCTGGAAGGAGGCGAGAGCGTTCTTGCAGAACCTGCTGTCCACCAGCCATGCCAGGCTCCGAGACGACACGGAGCTTCGGAGACGGTGAGGGGCACACGGACGTGGGCGGGTGGCGAGGGGACAGTGCGGTGGTCAGGGCCATTCTGAGCCACGGCTTGGCTGCCTCCGTCTCCTCCAGCCCCTGCCTCCGCTGCATATTGGTGGTGGGGCTCTGGGCCAACGGGGAGGACCCGTGTGCCCCGACTGGAGGGTGCCCGCCGGGTCCAGCCCACTCCTCATCAGCACCTTCGTGTCCGTGTCTGGTTTCCAGAGAAGGAGTAATTTGGCCCGTTTTCTAGAGAGGAAAGTAGGAGCAGGGAGGAGGCATCATGGCTCTTGTGGGTACAGGCCCTCCCCAGGGTGGCCCACTGCAGCCCAGCCCGGCCGCGGGCCAGCCCGAGACCGTGAGCAGGGGCTGAGCCTGCAGTGGGCGGCCAGAGCAGGGACCCCGCTTCGTGCTTGACCTTGAAGCCCCGGTTCTGTGTTGCAGTGCGTTCACTGCCCAGGCTTCTGCTGTGATGCACCTGCCGGCCACCATAGGTACGTACGGTCCCTGTACCTGAGCAGCTCAGCGGGCCACGACGCCTGGCGGGGTGCCGGGGGCCTGCTGCCTGCCGGTGGGGGCAGCAGGGCGGGGTTCTGGGCTCTAGCCCCTGCGCTCCACGGACCCAGGCCAGTCCGAAAGCCAGAGCCCTCGCTGGGTGGTTGCCGGCTGCTGGGATTTGCAGTCGGCACTGGAGCCCTTCACAGCAAGTCGCTCTGTCCGCGAGGCTGCAGGACGTGCTCCCAGCTCATCTGTGAGTCTGAGGCGGGGGTGTGAGGAAAGAGGGTCCTAGAGAGCCCCCATCTGAACCCTCGGCAGTGAGTCTGATGGAGGTTTCGACCAGCAAGTTGCAGTTGTGCAAACTCCCTTAGCTGAAGCAGAGGGAGGCCCTGCACCCTTGTCTCCCAGCCCCAGGGTGCTGGTACACCTTGCGCTCAGAGGCTTCCGGAATCCGGGACTGCGGGGCCCTGACGGGGCTTATGCTGTGTTCTGCGGCCTGCATCCTTCCTGGTGGAGAATGTCCTTCCAAAGGACAGGGGGACAGGGGCACGAGTCGGGACTTACTCCATCCTAGGGTTTGAGGGTTAAAGCAGCTGATGTGTGCAGAGCACAGAGCTCCGGTCAAACTGCGCGTGTCCTAAGAAGCCCCCTCCCCACAGGGCACACCCCCCCCCATTGTAGGACACTGTCTGGAGAGTTTGGGGCCGTCTGAGGACTGGTGCAGCCCGGCCCCCCGGCCCGGTCCTGAAACACCAGCCCCTCGGCCCCTGCACCCACTCCAGGCGACCACCGTCCGTCCGTCTCTAGTCTTACCTCCTCTAGAAGCTTCATGGAGAGAGAATCACACTGTGCATAAGCCTTCGTGTCCCTCCTAACCGGCATGTCCCCCCAATACCACCCTTACTCTTTCCCTTATGTTTCTTGTAACCTATGTTTTTTATTAAGGAAAAATAAGCTTTTAGTTAAGGCGGTCTTATAAACACGTCTTTAAATTGTGGTAAATTACCATCTGAACGATTTTGGCGTACGATTCAGTAGCATCGGGTACACGAGCTTCTGGACCCGCGCACCTGCCCCCAGGGGTGGGGGGCTTCCTGTCTGCACCTCGCGCCCCCGCCACCCTTCCCAGCCCCTTGCCAGCGACCACGATGCAGACTTATGCACATGTATTGAAGATGGACAAGCGGTGGGAACTCTGAGGTGACCCTTTGTGACCGGCTGTGCGGTGGGCTCCTGCCAAGGCCCTGGGGTCTCCCTGCTGAATGTGCGGCCCCAAGTTCCTCCGTCCGGAGTGGCTGCTGGAGTGATACACACCTGCCCCACTCTTCGTGGTTTAGAAGGCACCATCTTATGGTTTTTTGAAGGACTATTATGTGAAAAAGATTCGATCTTTGAGCCTGTTGAGTTGGAATACCCACAGCAGGGCCACAGGGACCCCCACACTGGCAAAGGGGCACTTCTATTTGGGGCCCACTGTATGCCGGGCATTAGGATAAGTACTTTATTGATTTATTTATTAAAGATCTATCTTTAAGTAATCTCTACTCCCGACGTGGGGCTTGAACTCATGGCCCTGAGATCACGAGTCGTACTCCCCTCCCCGAGCCAGCCGGACGCCCCCCGTGATCCGCACTTTATTTTGTTATTTCCTGCCCTGTAAGGCTCTGCCCCTGAGTGTGACCTTTCCTGTTCCTGGTTACGGATTTCTTCTTCCCAAGCATCCCTCAGCTCTTACCTCTGGGATCGGGACCGTGAAGGCCGTGCGCCCCCCGCTCCACCTCCAGGCCCGTAGCACCTGTGTCCTCCTCCCCCTCCTCCCCCCCACCCTCCTCCTCCTCTTCCTCCTGGAGCAGTCCTGCCAGAGAGAGTGGGGGGAAGGGCCTCAAAGTGTTGCCAGGATTTGGACCCAGACAAGTGCGGGAGAGAAGCCGTGTAGGTGGCAGGTGCGGCTCAAGCAAAGGCGTGGAGAGCAGAGCCCTGGGTCGGGCGTGCGGAGGTGGGAAGCCCCGGGAAGGGGAGGGGTGTCCGCGGTCTATTTCAGACAGTCTTGGCTGCTCGTTCCTTGTTTGTTTCTCAGAGGAGAGTTCTCAAAACAAATTGTGAGTGAGGCTCGATTGTGTTGCATGTGCATCGCGCCGAGGGCTGCGCTCTCGGGACCGGGCACGGCCGAGACGCCTGCACGCTTGCCTCCTCCTCCGGCTCCGGCTGGGCCCCGTCCCTGAGACCGGCCCGCCCTGGCTGGGCAGCTGCCACCGCGGGGATCTCTCGTGTCTCCCCTGCAGGTGACTACACGGACTTCTACTCCTCCCAGCAGCACGCCACCAACGTGGGGATCATGTTCCGCGGCAAGGAGAACGCCTTGATGCCGAATTGGTATGTTGGGGCCCAGAGTGTGATCAGTGTTTCCTTTCCCAGCAGCACGTTTCCCCAGGGTCGAGAGACCGGGGCGGGGGGAGGGGGGACCCCCATGCCTGGGATCCACTACTTCCGGAAACAGAGGGACCGCCCCTCTGTCCCTCAAGCCCCTTCGTCCAGAGAACATGGTTGGAGTTCGTCCTCGAGCGTGTACGGTCCTCCTAGGCTCCTTCCTTCGTAAGCCGTGTCTTCCTGCTCTGTGGGCACGCCTCGAATCCTAGCCTTCTCCATGCCTGGAACTTTCTGGTGCCTGAGAATCCTCAAGTGCGCCCATACTCTTTATCAAAGTGCAGTCAGCGCACAGCGTGAGCCGTTTCTGGGATCCGCACAGGGGCTCGTGGGTCTCCAAGCCCGTGGCCACCCTTAGCCCCGTTTCACGGGAGCAAAAACAGGCCGAGGAGGGTTGACTTGCCCGAGGACAGACAGGGCCAGAGGTGGCTCCTAATTCCCAGGTCGAGGATCCTTGAGCCCGGATCCTTGCCCTTTTGTTCCGTGTTGTCCGCCGGATGTGGTGGTTACTCAGAACACGGCGGCAGGCACGGAGCCCAGGCCGGGGAATGTCTGTCAGGATCAAGACGAGGAAGGCGGAGGGAAAGAGACAGCAGGTTAATGACCCAGAGAAGTGAAGCCACAAGGCCAAGGTTGCAGAGCAGGGCGGGGGAGTCTGGGAGAGCAGGTGCACAGACAGACCAGGCTCTGCCCCGTGCAGGCAGGTGAGAGCAAACAGCTTCTCTCCGGATGTTTGAGGCGAGGTGGCCCACGCTGTGCCTTTTTCACTCTCTGCATATATCCTTTATTATACTGGGGATGTGTGCACATTGTGATTGAGCCGGGCTCGCCCTCCGGGGCCCACCCTCTGGGGGCCCCCGAGTCCCTCCTCCCGGGGCCCAAACTCTTGTCCGTTTTCCATATTCTTCCGCAGACATTCCAGCTTCTCTGTACCGACCCTGCTCCCTTACTAATTTGAAAGAATGTTTTATACGTAATAGAAATGAACCCTCTGCTGTCGTGCCTCGTAAATACTTTCTCTCAGCGTGGCATCTTTTTACTTTGCTCTTTCCCCATACAGAAGCTTTACCCAAAGTCAAACATGTCCATCATTTTTTTAAATGACATTGGCTTTCATGTCATCCTGAGGCTTTTTCGGGCCCAAGAACTTGAAGACGGTCTTTGTGCTTTGCCCCTAGCACTTCCTGTAGCTTCACTTTGTGCAGATGTAGATGTGTACCCTGCCTGAAGTTCCCCGTCCGCGTGACGGGAGGTGTGGGTCTGGACCCGTCTCCTGGACGCCCGTATGATTGTTCTAAACCAGGGGCTCATGACGACAGAAATGGATACCTCAGGGCTCGGGGGGCCGGAGCCTGGGGCGAGGTTCCAGCCGGGCTGCTCTCCCTCTGAGCCTCCAGGGGACAGTCTGTGCCCTTGCTTCTCCAACTCCTGGAGGCTGCAGGCAACCCGGGCCTGAATGCCGGGCCTCCTGTGTCACTGGATTTAGGGCTCCCCTGGATGATCCTGGATGACCTCATCTCACGACCCTTAACGCAGACCCTTTCCCACAATAAGGTCACCTTCCCATTTTCTGGGGGACGGGACGTGGACAAAATCTTTCGGGGAGCCCACTGTAAGGTCTGACTCGTGCAGACATGAGCAGTCTGTCCGTCACGTGCTGCGCTGTGACCTACGCTCAGGGCTCGGATCGCTTGGCTGTCCGTTCCTAGCGCACCAGAATATTTTAAATCGCTTTGCTATGTGTTTTGGTATTTGGGAGCACTTTCCTTTTTCACTTCCTCTGCTGCTCTTCTGTCTTAGAGACTGAGCTGTTGGCAGTGTTCCTGCTGCCCCGCGCAGCTCTGCCGTCAGACCGGCCGGGTCGGACGCCCAGGGCCAGCGTGCCACACCGGGCGACCTCGGCCAAGGCCCGGACGCTCTCCTCTCTGCTCCGGGCTGAGTTTGCGCCAGCACCTCGGGGGGGAGGGTCCGGGAGGAGCCTGAAGAGGGACCCTGCGTGGTGCCGGCCTGTTCTGAGCGCGGTGTGTGCCTGGAGACCGTTACTGTTCCCCGCGGGTGGGGGGGGCGGTGTCGGCACCATGGTCGTGCTGGGCACCAGGATGGGGGCACCCCTGTGAGGTGCCCAGCTCTGCGGCACCAAGTGCACTCACACTGGGGTGCACCCGTCAGCACCATCCACCCCCAGAACTTTCTCATGTTGGACAGCTGACGCTCTTCCCCGTTTAGCACCAGCTCGCCAGGCCCCTGCCCTGGCTCTGTCCGCGACAGCGCGGAAGCAGGATCGTGCTGGTCTTTCTGAGCCGGGCACGTGGTGTCGCTGAGGCTCGCCGGGTCAGGGCGTGGGCCGGTGCTTCCGCCCACTTAGTGCTCGCCGGGTGGCCCTCGTGCATGGTGTGTGTAGACCCCACTTTGCTTATCTCTTTGCCCATGGATGGATGCTTGGGACTACCTTTTGGTTTTGGAACCATGTGTATATGTGCGGACTCCTTTTTGTTTTTAATTTTGAAAACTGTAGAAATTCATTTTGCGGCGTGTAACGGTCGGGCGTCCTTCCTCCCCCTTTCTCAGGCTGCACATTCCCGTGGGCTACCACGGCCGTGCCTCCTCCGTCGTGGTGTCCGGCACCCCGATCCGCAGGCCCATGGGGCAGATGAGCCCTGATGACTGTAAGTGGCCCCAGCGCCCAGGCCTCCCTGGTCCCCGCTCTATGTGCCCACGCGGCCGGTTCCGGGGCTCGGCACCCACCACAGCCTCTCTCTCCCGCCCGCTTGCAGCTAAGCCTCCTGTCTATGGCGCCTGCAAGCTGTTGGACATGGAGCTGGAGATGGTAAGCTAGGCCGCTCTCTGTGCGGGCGTCCCATGGGAGCGCTCCCCGGAAGGGCTGCCCGGGCTCCCCGCCCAGCCGTCCCAGGGACGGTCCATCCGCACACGGCTTCCGTGTTTGTGAACTTGCTAAGAGCTAACCGGTAACTCCCCCGCAGCACCCCAGAGCTTGCAGGGGTCACGGGCGGACACGCACAGAGTGGCAGAGAATCAGAGTCCCCAATGTGTGTGTGCCACGCTCTGCCTTCTTGGTCCAGCTCAGACTGGACACGTGGTCTTCTCACTACTGAAAGCCACCTGGTTTTGTATGCTTTTTTTTTTAAGATTTTATTTATTTGACACAGAGAGAGAGAGCACAAGCAGGGGGAGCGGCAGACAGAGGGAGAAGCAGACTTCCCGCGGGGTAGGGAGCCCGATGCGGGGCTCGATCCCAGGACCCTGGGACCATGACCTGAGCCGAAGGCAGACGCTT